TATATGCCTTGTCGAAAGCCAGGAGAGGAGAGAAAAGCAACAGATTTGGCCGAGTCCAACCCATCAGTCCAAGACCCCTCTTGTCACACGACCTGAATATATAAACAACAACATGTTACATTTGTGTTTCACCTTTTTTCCGCGAGATCAATAGTAGTTTATTCCAATATGATAGAGCTACAATCCATTGGAATAGTTCCTCAATACATGGGGTCTTCTCTCAAGCCACACAGCTGCGACCCGTTCCGAGCGACTGTACACTTGTGTTTCACCGTTATTAAACAGTGGTCCAGCACGGCTTACTAACAAGCGAAGTTTAAGGGCCTCTTTGATTTGAAGGATTCCAAAAACGTAGGAATGGGAAAATCAGAGGATTGCAATGTCATGCTTATTTGAGTCCTATAGGATTTTGGTTTCTTTTATTGCCTCTACAGAAAAAACGAATGATTATTTTCAAGAAGTCATGAGTAGATGCTAAAATTTCAATAGAATGTAGTAGAAATGAATCCTTAGAAAAATTCCCTATAGGATTCAATCGTACGAATCAAACGACCATCATAGGAAAAATTCCCAAGGACTCCAAATTCCTATGAGAACTCTTTGAATCAAAGAGACCCTAACATGGCAGGATTATTGAGAGATACGTCTTAGCTCCTCTCTTGGTACTCGAAGTTTCAGAATATTTTGGAACAAATCATACATATACATCTAATTAAATGTGATATACTTAACTGTAATTTTTTCTTATGAAAATGTTAATTATGAGCTTCTCAAGAAACAAATGCGTGGATCTAAAACAGTGAGTCTACATATATTATAGGTACACATACTTATAATATTTTTTCTAGCTCGCAAATAAACATATGCATTTATGGAAATTTACCGATATGTATATGTATGTTGGCACAGGCCCGTACGCCGAGTACTTTCCGGCGTACCTCGTACAATACGTTTGCGGCGACCTATGCTTTCGCCGTCGATCACACGTGCACACAAGCTGGCTTCTTCACGGAGATAGGCACGTATAAGTCTACCAACCAAGCACACAGGCTGGTGGATGCTTTTGACGAAGTCAAAGCTAGCTAGCTATGCACGTATAGCAAACCACCGCCGGATACTTGATCGATTGCTCTCGTCGGAAACTCACGCACACACGCGAAACAATACGAGGCGCCGATGGATAGCTACGGGAGCGTGTCGCTCCCGTTGATCTTTATTACTTTGCGATCTGAGTTAAGTTTACAGGGGAACCACGTACAGGTATATATAGTATCTATCCTACCTATGCACGGCCGACTCGGCCATGGCTACATGTCCGTGCCGGACTCAGTTTTGCCTAATCGTGATTATATCCAACAATCACCCCTCTAAGCACGGTGTCCTTACTTCACAGCTTGGACGCCGATCCTTCGCCGCATCTTCATGAACTTCTGTCATCCTAAAAATCTGGTTAGGATATCTGCAAGCTGATCATCGGTGCAAATATAGTTGACGCCAATCTTGCTTTCTTCCACACACTCCCTTATGTAACGATACCTTGTATCGGCATGCTTGCATCTACCATGATGCACTGGATTCTTCAATAGAGATTGTAGAATCGTCGTCAACGTTGAGCATCACTCGTTCTGGTTGCTTACCTGTGAGGTTACCGAGTAGTCTTCCTAGGCAAACGCGTTGACACACCGCGGTTGCAGCTGAAATATACTCTGCTTCACGAGATGATAATGCGACCACCTTCTGCTTTTGTGATAGCCAACTCACTATGCTTCCTCACAAGAAATATGCCACGCCCGAGGTACTTTTACGGTCGTCCACATCTCCTGCCATGTCGCTATCACTATAGCCAAGTAGCTCCATCATCTCCTTCTCTCTCAAATAGACACAATCGAAGTTTGTTGTCCCTTTGATGTACCTGAGTGTATGTTCTACAACTACCAAATGTTCTGTCGTGGGTGCTTCCATGAAGCGACTCATTATGCCAACGGAATAGGCCAAGTCCGGTCTTGTATTCGTGAGATACCTCAACTTTCGGACCACACTTCTATACTCCATTGCACCGACCGCGGGTGCTTCACTTTTCTTGCTTAGCATAAGACGAGGCTTCATCGAAACATGACTTGGATTGCAATCTTTCATGCCACAACTTTCAAGTACCTTCTTTGCATATGCCTCCTGGCATATTGTAATCCCCTCCGGCTTTTGTTGTACCTCTATCCCAAGGTAGTAACTCAAGAGCCCTAGATCAGTCATCTTGAATAGCTCCTCCATTTGTAGCTTGAAGTTTGCAATCACCTCTTCGTCTGCTCTAGTTATCAATAGATCATCCACATAGATGCTCACTAAAAGATGATTCTTGCCTTCACCTCGCTTGTACATAGCATGCTCTAGTGGGGCTTTCTCAAATCCAAGAGAAATCAATGTACGGTCAAGCTTAATATTCCATGCTCGAGGAGCTCGTCGTAGCCCGTACAACGCTTTGTGTAGCTTCAATACCTTGTGTTCCTCTCCTTCTTTGATGTACCCAGGTGGTTGTTGCACGTATACTTCTTCTTCCAACTCCCCAGTCAAAAACGCGAAGTTCACATCCATGTGATGTAGCCTCCATGATTCTTGAGCCGCGAGAGCTATAAGTAGCCTCACCGAGTCCATCTTTGCAACTGGAGCGAACACTTCTTCGAAGTCCACATCTTGCTCTTGCACACATGATTTAGCTACGAGCCTTGCTTTATGCTTCACCAAGTTCCCTTCGGCATCTTTCTTGACTTTGTACACCCACTTGAGCTCCATTGCATTATGTCCACTGAAAAGATCCACGAGCTCCCATGCTTTGTTGTCTCGGATCGACCCCAGCACTTCATCCATAGCACGACGCCAACACTCCTCCATATTTGCATCTTCAAAAATTTCCGATTCCTCGATGTGCAAACTTCGTTGCCCTTTACTTTTCATCTTCACCGAATTTACCTGAAGCCTTGCTTCTGGAGAGAGGTCCAACACGCGTTGTTCTTGTGCTATTGGAGAAGACACACTTACTTCTGAACTTGCCATAGTTCTTTTTCCTGGCGATTTTCCAACTCTACTACTTGCTGGGTTGCATCCCTGCTGCCCGTCACCTTTTTCTGGAGTGTTTCCAACTTCTAGCACTTCCACTAGGCTTCCACGTAGGCTCTTTGATGGAACTGCTGTATGCAACTTATAGTTGCCACCTCCGACTAGATTACTGGAGTGGCCGGCTCCTTCTTCTGGCCTGTGCGGAGGAGTACAATACCGTGCAGCGTCTATCTCACTACGGCTGTCTTCGAGTGCTACAACTACTGGCCCTCGTCCGTGGTGACCCGGACGAGCGCGTGGACTGTCCAGAGTGACAATCGCATGTGGAGCTTCCCGCCTTGCATTGCCATCCTCTGACGTGACGCTTGCGGGCCTCGGCGTGTCGTTGGCCTTGTATGCGCCTTGCTCCGTGATACGTTGTGGTCTTCTGGCGCCACTACTTCGCCAGGTTCTAGCACAATCACACCGCCGCGCCCTGCGATATGTTCTTCTGGCGACACATCTTCGCCGTCTTCTAGCGTGACCGTATCATCACGCATTGTGTCGTGGACTTCTGGCGCCACTTTTTCGCCTGCTTCTAACGTGACAACACCGTCACGCCTTGCGTCATGGTCTTCTGGCGCCACGACTTCGCCGGGTTTACTGACGTAACCATACTGTCACGCCTTGGGTCATGGTCTTCTGGCGCCACGACTTCGCCTGGTTCTACCGACACGGATGCACTCACCGGACCTATCTCCAGCTGATCGTGATCATCTGGATCCTCCTCGTCCACTAGCTCGCACATCAGCATCATATCCCCATTGTCTCCTTCCTCGGCCATGAGCGCCCGTTGCTTCGGTGTTTCCTCGCAGTCAGCCTTGAAGTGCCCGAGGAGGCCACACTTATAACACCTTACTTTTCTGATGTCAAACTTCCTCCTCGGTGGTTCAGGTGTAGTCTCGTCATCCGAGTCGGTGAAGTTCTTTCTCGCCGAGCGCTGCTTCCCTTTCCTCTTCTTCTTGCCGCTGCTCGTGGATCCGCCTTGCTTTTCTTTCAACAGGGCGGTAAATTGCGCCTTTGTCAACATCAGGTGCTCACTCGCCTCCGCGTCGCCGAAACTGAGACGAATTCTCTCGTCGTGGGCCTTGAACCTTCTGACGAGATCCTCAACCGTGAGAGTTTTCAGGTCGAGACATTGCTCGATCGACGTGACGATCTGAATATAGCGTGCTGGCGCGGCGCGCTAAAATTGTCGGACGATCGCAACTTCTTCTAGGGTTGAACCATAGTTGCTTATGCCGTTGACGAGTGTCTTGAGACGGGAGGCAAACTGATCGACCGTCTCACTTTCATCCATCTTCAGGCACTCGTAGCTTCTCATTAGGGACTGAAGGTGTGCTTCCTTGACACGGTCATGACCTTGGTGCAGGATCTTGATGGTCTCCCATGCCTCCTTCGCCGAGTTCTTTCCGACGAGGTGTTGCAGCACATCCTTCGGCATGGCGGAGTAGATCGCCGTTAACGCTTGACGATCCTTTCGGTACTTCGCCGCGCCCTTCGTGTACTCGGCACCGCTGGATTCCACGGCTTCCCAGAACTCAGCTACCTCCATCGCGACCTTCATGTTCATCGCCCATAGTGCGTAGTCCTCTCGATCCAGACGTGGGAATTGCGACACCCCCACCATTGGCATCGACGCTCCCGCTGCTGCCGTCACGATATCCTTGCCTGTGTTCGACATGATCTTTCGAGTGCTTTCCGAAGATCACGACCGACAAACCAAGCTCTGAATACCAATTGTTGGCAAAGGCCCGGCCTCGACACTGCGATCCGCCGTGTACTTTCCGGCGAGACGCACGTGCAAGACTAGCTCGAGTACTTTCCGAGCTAACCGATTCTATCGGAGAGGTAGACGTAGACGTACACGGAAGCTGCAGGTACACACCAAGCAGGCAAGCACCCTTGTGGATGGATTCTCGTGTCTAGCTAGCTAGCGTAGATCAAGTCGCCGGAACCCAATACGCAGACTCGCCGAGTTGGCCAAGAGGCTCGTGTCGAGCCTTTGCACTTTATTGATTTTGATCTGATTATATCTTACGAGGGTATACCTCCGTACAGGTATATATAGTATCTATCCTACCTATACACGGCCGACTCGGCCAGGGCTACATGTCCGTGCCGGACTCAGTTTTGCCTAATCGTGATTATATCCAACAATGTACTCGTGAAGATCAAGTTAAGAGACCTCTAAAATTGGCTTTCGAAATTTATTTTCAAAACGAGCTCAAGTGATCTAAGCTCATTTAGTGACATTAGAGGTCACGAAGAAAGGAAACCAAGGGAGGGTGGTAATCATAGGTACGTACCTGGACAGCGGACAAGAGCAGCTTGAGAAGACTGAAGGGCCAAGCTTCTGCTTCTTTACACTGCCAATTCCGATCAGAAACCCGAGAGCCGAGAGATGCACGCAGGCAGGAGTACAACAGATTGGCTCCTCTATCCGAGCGCCGAGCTTATGGTGCTTTGCTTGTGGCTGCATGTGTGCCCTGCTTTCCCTTTGCCAAAGCATGAAGCAACGTATGTATATATGTTGCTGCTCTGTTTTAGCCTTTTCTTTTCTAAAGATGATTAAGATGGAGATGCTGTTTGCATGTTTGATTTCGGTGCATCGATCGATTCCTTCTTGACAAAGCATATGTATGCTCTTACAGATTTATTTTTGAACGTAAAAAAATTGCCATTAGCAAAAGTATGGTTTGTTTTTTACCTTTTGCTTTTCCTTTTCTTTTCTAAAGATGACTCACATGCAGATGCTCTTCCAGGTTTGATTTCCATGCTAGTTTGCGCTGCGTAAAGCCATTGCACACCATAGTGCATCAGTTGATTCATTCTCCAATGTTTAAAGCTAATGCTTCTCGCCAAAAATAGCTTGTGTTTAAAAATAGAAGTTGCTGAACTCTCTCTCTCTCTCTCTCTCTCTCTCTCTCTCCCTCTCTCTCTCTCTCTCTCAGTAACATCTAAGACCACTGTAATCTGTTCATAATCAATAGTGTCGGCGCAATGCTTGAAACCACAATTCAGTACTCAGAAGTAGTAATAGATAACTCTGATGCACAAATTTCACAGATAGGTCAATTATTCGCCCACAGAGCCAGGCCATTGCAACAACCAGCACATATAACTGCTGCTTTTTTTATTTTTCATAAGTAAACACAAGCGCACACACATGTCGAACACTCTCAAATGCAAATGCAAGTCACACGCACAAGCAGCTTACAGATGCACGCAGGCACACACACATGGGAAGCTGTCTGTTACAATTCCACACACATGGCAAGCAAGAACTCATGAAAGCCACGCACACATATTCATGCAGTCGCAGACCACACGCGCGCGCGTCGTCCAGGTCTTTAATGCAGGCACCAACCTGTCTGTCTCTTATTTGAAAGCCACAATATAACAGAAGGTGAGAGCCACCATAAGCTCCCACATCAGGCATTGGAGACAATACCACACAATAGCAATCCAAGCAAACACACAAGAAAACCAAGTGCTCGATCCAGCAACAGAAGTAGGAGCATCAATCCATCGTTTTGATGACAGAAGAAATTTGCACAGCAGTGCAGAGTTCACCTAGGGCGATGTGAAGAAAAATGGTGAGTAACTGAATGCAACCACATGAAGTAGTACAGTTGTACAAAGATGGACTCGGTAGTAATATGCATATAGCGTACCTCAGAACAGAGACTCTGGGCAGCTTCTCGTAGTAGCGCGAGTGGACCGGCGCCTCGAAGTGGTCGTGGTGGTGGTCGGCGTCCCATTCCAGGGCATCCCACACGTTCTTCTCGATCTTGACGATCGGCTTCTTCACGCCTTGGCCACGGGCACCCATGGATGGCAGCCTGCGCAGGCTCCAGAATCCCCTTATCTTATTGGTCTCGAGCACTGGTGTCACCATCTTGAATTTGCATATCTTCTGCAGCTTCGGGAGGTCGTGTAGGTGAATGGTGGTCAGCTTGGGAATAGTACACCATTGGTGGCTATTTCCTCTTGGTGATGATCTATGTTGAGCTCGAAGACATGCACGAGATCGGCGCAGTGGATGATGTAGAGAGGTCTTTAAGCTGGGGAAGGAGGAGACACACACTGGTAGCACGAACTGGAGGCTGGGGCAAGAACGCAGGTGTAAGTGTTGTAGATTTCCAAAGGAACTAGGGATGATATAGTTGCGGCCGATCTAGATGCGACGGCGTTGGCTTTGACGGCGGCGGCGGTCAGCCCTGCCTCGGGCCACGGGCAGCGGCGCGATGCAGTCTTCGGTGGCATGTCATCTGGCTTTAGATCGGCGGCGGCGTTGAGGGCCTGGTGGACTGCTTGGCGGCACCCATGGCAGATCTGTTCTGGCCAGTGTAGCCAGTGGTGGTGATCATCTTCTTCGTCGGTGGTGGCCGGCCAGAAGCTTGGTGATCGGATCTCAAGATCCATCATCTAGTCCCGGCTGCGAGTTGGGGAGACATGGTTGCCGGTGAAAACCGAGCCGATGGCAGGCGATGGCGGCGTTCTATGCCGTTACCTTGATGAAGGCATCGTCGTGTAACTACTGTCGACCCACTCGTGCTGCTCCGGGGGAAACCCTAGGATCTGGGATTCCAGATCGGACGATGGCGACACTGCGGGGTCGTTTCTCTCTTGGGAGCATCATTTGTGGAGCAGCGCTGGAAGTCAGAGGCAGGAGGTGGAGCGGCTTCGTCTTGCATGGAGCTTTGGTGAAGATGTCAAGTCGTACCGACAGGTGCTACGCTTTGTCATGCCTGGTCGGCAGGTGCTATGCACGACAGATTTTCAAAAGACTTCAAGCTGTGTCGGCTGGTGGTACTTGGCAGCAATGGCGCTGAGGTGTAAGGCGACCGCGACGTGCTCAGCTGTTTGCGCGCAGGGAGGAGGTGCCGTTGGGCGCCGTGGTGGCGTCGACGATAGCTAGACCGAGCAAGGTTGATGCATCAGTACAGTTCTGAAGATGGAGCGGTGGCAGTTGGCGGCGGCGGCCTCTGAGAGCACGCCGGACCAGTGTGTGCCCCAGACCCGGCAAGTGGCTAGGTTGGGGTCTCAGGTCTTAGATGTTAGGCTTGGCTGCGATGTCTGTTTGGTATTAGGCCCAGGCTATCTACGCCCCTTCATCAACTGGATAGGTGTAGCGACATTTGTTGTTTAGACGGCGGCTTTAGTCTTACTGTTGTATGACTTTATAAGGTCTTGTGAGAATAATTAATAAAGTAGCCGTATGCATCGTCCAGATGCAGAGGCCGGGGGTCATCCTCCTTTTCTAAAAAAAACAGGTAGAGCTTCACTCCAAATCTTCCAAATCCAGCGAGCCATTAGTAGATCCGACGCCCAGAAGATCTCCGGATCATCAACTCCATACATTTGTAAATGGAAGACAGCATCCAACTTTGGGGACCTCTCCACACAGCACCACTTAATAAGTAAGCCAAACCCATAAAGTACGATCCGTTGGTTAAACCCACGAGGAACATCCATACGCAGGGATTTAGTATGTCTCCCTAGTCCTCTGTCCAGTTCGCTCTCCACATAGAAGCTCCCTTTAGCAATCTCTGTATGTGGTCAGAGGTTGCGGGAAGCCGGGAAATCATGCATCGGAGGACTGCCAACCATGCAAAGGACATCACTATACGTGCCTGCTTCTAATATGCGTCTGCAAACTCTCTTGATCGCCGGGGTCAACTTTATTCTTGCTGGTTGCCCCAAATTGAACAGCTCCTTCGTAAACCGCTGCAGGGGATGAGTTGATCAGTTGTAAATCCCCGACGCTTGTAACCTCCACCGATATAGTGAAGATTTGCTGGCTGGCGCCCGTGGTGTTTTCCCTTCGTGTTGGAGGGGTTTTCCACGTTAAATCTCGTGTCTCCTGCTTGTTTTTCGTGCTTCGTCGTGTTGATTTGCCAGTCGTATATCTTACAAGAAATCGTCTCTTGAGCTTCGGGGCCTACACCACCATAGTCTTGAAGTCAAGTACATTGATTGCAGTTTCAAAGAGGTCTAATTCCACGAGGTTGGGTAACCAGCACAAAAATAGATTCTTCAATTATATGCAACCTTGTAAGGAGATCCTAGTCACTCTGAGCACAGCTTCTAGAACAGCTGCATCAACTATGGTTGTGACCATCAAGTACAAGCAATCTAATGTGGCTTGCCTTCGATGGGCTTTGCACTAAACGGATTGCAAGCAACTAGGTAGCAACTTGTTGATGCAGCAATTCTAGAAGTTGTGCCCTTGTTAGTGATACAATAGAAGTATTGGTGCAAAGCAAAGCATGAGTATATCTTAACTCGCCTTCTACCTTTCAACGGTCCAGATCAATGGTCAAGCATCTTCTGCTGAAGGTCCAAATCGTTACATTGCTGTCAAATCTTCTAAGAGGGATGCAAAAGGTGCCTACATCAACCTCCTCATCACTTCCATTAAGAAATACCACCATCAATTTAGTGTCCCTCAGCATTTGATGAATCAGTTGCCCGACATTGTGCTCATTCCTTGAGCTTTCAGAAACTTTGCTAAAATCATCCTCTTCGTCCCGCTCATCTAGAATGGCCATTGCTGAGCGATCAAGTTCCAGTTCCTCTGCAATTACCCTCTACACTACTATTCTATTTTTTTCACTCAGAGCAATCTAGTGTATAAATTGTTCTGTCAAAGCATAGTTGTGGAGTGGTTCTGGGAGATGGGAGCACTGTTGTAATGGATCTAAGAACAGCGGACAATCCAAACCCATCCCAACCATAAAAATGCATGACCTTTGTGTCGCTCTCGTTCTGAAGAAATTGAAATATTTCCTCTCTCCTGCCATCAACATCTCTTGTGGAAATGTACCGTGAAAATAAGTTAAGAAATTAGAACATAAATATAACACATAGTGCGGATAGTGTATATCTGGACAAAATATAGCTTGTGTTTAAAAATAGCAGTTGTACGTTGAATTCTCTCCCAGTACGATCTAAACACGTGACCATTGTAATCTGTTCATAATCAGTAGTGCCGATCGGTGCAATAGTTGAAACCAGTATTTCAATACTCGGAAATAATAAATACAGTATCAGCCATAACTTTGATGGTTGCCTTGAACAGATTTCACAGATGAATCAATGCATGATTCACACACAGAGCCAGGCGATTACAACAACCAACACGATAGCTGCTGCTTTTTCTTATTTTTTGTAAGCATATCAAACAGAACATGCAGCTAATTATCACGTCAATGCATGCACAAGCACACACACATAAGCCTGGGAATAGTTTCACATCGAGACCAAAGCCAGCCCAGTCCATATGAATACACACGCCCAGGATCCAAATTAAACCGATCCAAAAAGAGCCAGCTAGAACCCAAACCAAACCAAACTGCAGATTTTTTCAACCCAATCCAATTCAAACTGTTTCTCATTTTTGGATTAAATCCACAAACTCAAACCATGGATAAATTGGTACAGCTTCTCAGTAAACTGAACTAGTACAACTTGTGTCCAATTTTGTACAGACTAATCCCAAATTTCTGAAAAAAATGAAAAGAACATGGTACGGAGGGAGGGATGAGGACCAAGGTGGGATGGAGCATCCGGGGAACGTGGAGGCGATGGCAGCTTCGATTCCGGCCGGCGCACCGGCAGGGAGGCGGCGGCAGCTTCTGTTACTGGCGCGCATCGGCGGGGAGACGACGGCAGCTATGAGTGGACGTGCACGACGGTGAAGTCGGCAGGCGCTTCGGCAGCGGCGGATGGGTGAGGGAGGCTGCGACGGAGCTCCAGCGGCCGGCGCCGGCGATCCCTATCCCAACTGGAAGCCTGGAAGTATTGGCCGACCTCTCGTGTAAGGTAGATTTGGTTGCTCTACCGGTTTTCTACGTAGACAGAAACCGGTCTGAGACCGATTTGTCTCGGTCCATACCAAACCAAACCAATCTACTAATTACTAAAGCCCAGACCAAACCAAATTGAAACAGGGCCTCAGCCCATTACAACCAAACTTAAGCAGCCCAATGAATAAACCAAATTAAAACTATGGTTTGAGACCAAACCATTCCCAGGTTTACACACACATAACCAGCTCCGATAAACATGGCAAACACTTGCAAATGCATAGTCACACTCGCAAGTCACCGCAGATAACATGACCAACA